CGCGCGCTGGAGACCGGCAGGCGGGGCGTGGTGACGTCAGGCTCCCGGCTCCGGGTGCCAGCCGGGCGCTCACCCTGCTTGCCAGCGCGTCCTGGGCCCTCCCCACCGCACGCCCCTTCCCCCCAAGACGCCTCATGCGGAGGGGTCCGGGAGGGAGGAGAAGCCAGAGTGGCCGCCTCCAGTCCAGAACTACCAGCAATGGGATGGGGGGGGAGAGGAAAGGGAGAAAGAAGTGAAGAAGACCCCAGACCGGGCAACCACGAGGGTGAGCTGAGGGAGGGGCGGGGGGATGGGGAAGGAATCAGGGGCACCTGGCCGCCTGGCCGCAACACCGAGGGTCAAAGATCACTGAGAAACCTGGAGAAGGGGGGATTGGGGCCGGGGGTCTGATGGGAGAGTAGCTATCTTAAAGAAAAGTGGCGCCGGGTATGGTGGCTCACTCCTGTCATCCCAGCACTTTGGGAGGTGGAGGCGAGAAGATTGCCTGAGCCCAGGTTTCGAGACCAGCCTGAGCAACTTGGTGAGACCGGTCTCTACAATAAAAAGTTAGCCAGGCGTGGTGGCGCACACCTGTAATTCCAGCTATTTGGAAGGCTGAGATGGAAGGATCACCTGAGCCCAGCAGGTAGAGGCTGCAATGGTTGTGATTGTGCCATTGCATTCCAGACTGGAGAACAGAGTGAGACTGACTCAAAAAAAGAAAGAAAGAAAGAAAGAAAGAAAGAAAGAAAGAAAGAAAGAAAGAAAGAAAAGGCTGCTTGAGGGACAGGAATGATTGAGAAAAGAAATCTGATTTTCAGAAAGGGCTCTTGTAGTACATGTGTCAGCTGAGTGGAGCCAGGGATGAAATTCTGAATTGTGGAGAGCACAAAAAAGATAAAAGGGGACAGACACCTGGAACATTGGAGGAAAGCCATTTCTTCCTTTGGAGGTTACCTGTGCAATCCCTCTCTTTCCTGGTATCTTTCTGAACTCTACCCAGTGGGCTTCACCATGATCTTTTCTGGCCATTGTCTCCTGATTCCAGTAGCTGATAGCGTCCTTGGAACTTGCTCTTTAATTAAAGGCCAGGCCTGTGTCTTGTTAAAGGAGAAGAAAACAGCAAAATGTGATTTACTTTGTTGGCAGCAGACTTTGCCCTGTTAATTAGTACCCTATAAAACAAATTACAGGACAAAAATAGTGATAACTCAGCTGCACCAGACTTCAGTAGGCAGGAGTTTTATTTTCAGCCCAGATAAATCATCCTTTTGGTTTAAAGGTGTTTTGTTTCTCCTTCTCCTTCTCCTCTTCCTCCAACTTCTTTCTTCCTTCTTCTTTGATCAGAATCTCCAAGAGTTGTACTTGGGCAAAAGCTAAAACAGGTGATGCTATCTACAGCTCTAAAATAAATGATTGAACTTCACATGGTGGCCTTGTGCTGAGCCCATTGCTGTGGTTTTCAGGGACCACATGGTCTGGGCAAGATAAAAATAGGTAATATTTACTATTAGGGCTCCCCCTCTTCTCTCTGTGCACCCTCTTCCTTCTTCTGACTTCACTTTGCCTCTAGCTCCATGGACTCAGAGAGAGAGAGAGAGAGAGAGAGAGAGAGAGAGAGAAAGAAAATACTTAAGATGTCTGTGGGCTGAGAGCATGGGCTCACCCTTGTCGCCTCCCTTTAGACATGGTCCCCAGATCCAGACCATTCCTGCCTTAATGCAGCTGCACTTAACTAGAGGGGGAAAAGAGCACGAACAGTTCAATTGTTTTCTGCAAAAGCTGATGTTGGACCATAAAATAAGTTTACACAGTTTTCCATACGTGGATTTTTAAAAAATCCATCACTACCATTTTTATGAACACAAAACTTGGCTGAAGTCCTAAATTCCTGAATAAAAGCCATCTTGTGTTTCAATACAAGATTGTCATCTAAGAGCCAAGAATGTTATTTCAGAGCTGTCAAGTGAACTGTCAAGCCACGGTAATAGCATGTTAGCTGCAAATCTTCCAAACCATCAGATAAAGGCCCAAGGAGTCGAGAAGCCTCTCTGGTAGCTAAATATGTTTCATTTTACATGCCACAATTTAGCAGAAAGTATGGGGTTAAAATTGATTCTTCCAGAGGATCTACATTTGAACATACTCAGGCTTTAAATATTGCTAGGAATGAACTTCTCAGTGGTTTCCAGAAGAAGACAACCCATGTATAGAATCATGTACATAAATACTGGCTGAGGATTTGTAGAAGACTGTCTTTGGGACATGCCAGTCTGTGGTTGCCTCTTTCAGATGCTAGACTAGGTTCTAAGAGCAGACAGGCACATTCCTTCAAGCTCCTCCTTATCTCTGCCATGTCCACCTGTCTGTTGGGAGGTAGAAGATGGGAAAGGAACGGGCATGGTTCATTGGTTATGGATGGACATTAGCTGTAAGTCATTGCCTGCCCTGCACATAGCTCCTACACAAGCGTCTGCTCTTTCAGTAGTCTCCTAGAATGTTCAGCCTATGAACCACATGACACTGTCCATCCCCCGGCCTTGCTCATGAGAGGTAATTGACACCTGTCCTAGGCTAGATAACATCAGCCACCCTTTGCTGGACTGGTGACTAGATGCTTTCTCTTGAATATTTGAATTAAGAAACACCATAACAATGGCCAGTATTGGGCTCTGGGCTTGAAAGATAGCAAAAAGTTAGGGCTTGTGTTCACTCATGGTGGACTTTGTACAGAATGAATAATCAGAGAAAGCCAGCTGCCATGGAAGAACAAAACAGATGCGCCACGAGGAGCAGAGATGAAGGAATGAAATGACTGAGAGGTGTCAGTCCCCGAGTATCTGGGTCCTGGCTCTGGAGGTCCAGATCTCTGGATGCCTTGCAATTACCCTTTGGGTCTCTACCACAAACCTTCTTAATCTTGAGCTACCTGGAGTGGGTTTCAATTCTGTGAATCATTGGTACTTGACTAAAACACACAGCTGAATGGATTATTCATTCCCAGTTTGTCTGATCTTGTTTATGTATGGGGTCTGCGAAGTTTGGTTTCTGACTGATAGTCACAGACTAAACTCATTATTGCCAGCCCTGTAATGAGCCCATCATGTCCTTAGTGCCTTGGTTCTTTCTATTCTAGCACCATCCAAGCACAAACAAGAGGGAACTTCCTTTGCCTGAGGTTAAGCTCAGGAATCATCATAACCTGCCAAGCACAGGTCTTTCTCAGGCTCCCTTTGGCATCTCTTTCCCATTTCAGCCTAAGCCAGCAGCTCTCAACTCTGCCTGAAGATTAGAATTATCCAGAAAGCTTGTTAAACTACTCATTTCTGAATCTCTCACTGAGAGATTCTGATTCATTTGGTCTGCAGTGAGTATTTTCCCAAGACACTAAAGAAAAGCTGGGGTTAAGAACACTCATCTAAGCAATCTTACAATCCCCTTGTCAGTTTAGTGTGTGATAAAACTCCCGAAATAACAGATGTCAGTTTGGAATAGTTGCAAAAAAAAAAAACAAAAAAAAGAATTTCAGTGAGAATCCATTCTCAAGTCATTCGGTATAATTTCAGGTCTAACTCACTAACCGGTTCTCCTCTGTAGACCTTACTTTTTCACACTTACAGGGAACCTCCTCTCTGACCCAAGATGAAGCCTGACACTGGGTTCTCTCCTCACCATGATGAATTCAATAGCCCCATTAGGGAATGTTAAACTCTGACTCTGGTCTAGATTGTCCTGGAGTCATCATTCTATTGTAGATTTCAAGATCCCTCCGCATCTGCGCCCTGCCTCTTGCTGATCTCACAGCCACTGCCCAGGCATGCCTGCTCCTGGCCCATCTGTCTGCTAATCAATTCTGCTTTATAAGATCAGAGCTGCAGTCAGCCAAACTGTGTAGATCTATATAAAACTGAGTTGGAAAGACCCATGCTAGCTAGCAATTCTGGCCTCTTTCTCTCCCTGGGCATCTGCAAAGACAGACAGACACACACACACACACACACACACACACACACACACACACACACACACACCCTCTTCTTGGTTCTTAGAGACAAGAAGTATAGTTTTCTCCTGGGAAGAATAAGTATATCTGGCAGTACACAGGTACTTATCTTGACAGGTCGGGGGAGAGCAGGTGCTTGATGAGATGTATGAAGCTGCTTACAAATAAATATTGTTGCTGGCTGGGTGCAGTGGCTCATGCCTATAATCTCAGCAATTTGGGAGGCTGAGGTGGGAGAATTGCTTGAGCCCAGAAGTTCAGGACTGGCCTTGGTAACATAGCGAGACCTCATCTTTAAAAAAGTTTTTAAAAATTGCTGGGCATGTTGGCGCATGCCTGTAATCCCAGCTACTCAGGAGGCTGAGGTGGGAGGATCGCCTGAGCCCAGGAAGTTGAGCCATGATCATGCCTTCACTCCAGCCTGGGTGACAGAGTGAGACCCTAACTCAAAAAAAAATCATATAAAAAATTATAAAACAAAATTGTTGCTGAAAGTGGAAGACATTATAAAGGGCACTGAACACAGGATATTGTCTAGATTCAGGGTACTGGATGGAATGTAATCCTTCTGGGAGACACGTGCCAAAAGATTCCCTTTTTTTCTGCTTCCACCTGCCTTCAGAGTTTCCCCTCATCCTCAGGCATCAGTGTCTTAATACCCAAGATAGTTACTTCCTCAGCATGTCCAAATGCATCAGAGCATTCCTACTTCATGCCAGGTGAGCTGTCTCCTCTCCACAGGACTGATACCCTGGGAGGTCCGCGTCACCTAGTGTTCTCAGCAAATTTAGATAAGAAGCAGACCGCCACTGTCATCACATATGTCCATAGGAGGAAGAATACTGTGCAGGAGAGCTGAGACTTAGGGTTTAAGTCAGTGGATGGGTAACAAGATTTTTTTGCATGAGAAACACATCAGGAAACATAATAGCACTTACAAGCATATGTATTTTTTTTCATAAAGAGTGAAAATAACTTTGAGTTCATGGAGAAATATA